GGGGGGGGGGTGCATGTGGGGGGGTACCTCACCTCCACGGGTCTTTCCAACTTAATAATGCTTAGCTGGGAGTTTTACAGATGTTGCCTGACTACGTTGCTTGGGCTTTGGGTTCCTCTGAGGGGCTGAAGAAGCCTCACCTGTGTGGCTGGCTCGCTGGACAGGAGCTTTGGCGTGTGCTGGAGAGGAGCAAGCATGCGCTAGCGAGTCCGTCAAACACGGGCTCCTCCGTTAATTAGGCAAAGAGCTGGGAGCAGTTAACGGACATCCTCCCTTTTGTTCAGAAGTGACAGGCTCTTCAGCGTTGTCTCGGCTTTAGCAAGCCTGTGATATTCCCAGAAAGCTATTCAAGGCTGGATCTGCACGCAGGGCGGAGGAGCGCGGCAATCCAACCCCGAGGGAGCAAAATGGGCAGAAGCATTTCGGGTTGATGCATCTAAACACAGCACGCGTCATCAAGTAGAAAAGAGGAAGAGCAGGGAGGCCCCGCCAGCTTTCTCCTTGTAGGGACTTGGCCGGTGTCCTTGAGGTGGAGGACAGTCGCATCCACGGGATGGATGGAGGAGCGCAGCGCGCTGCTCACCTCCCCGGGTTCGCTTCCTGACATCCGCAGGCGTGGCAAGGAGGGAGCCCTGCCTGACCCTCGGGGCAGCCCTGCCAGTCCGTGTGGGTAACGGGTCTTCCTTGGGAGAGGCCGCTTCAGAGGCTCCTCTGCGACAGGCCCTTGTTTCCTTGGGACGCTGCACCGGACTCCTGTGGCCCGTGCAAGCGCCTCGAAGGACAACGGGGCTTGCGGAGGGGGACGGGGGGCACGCTGCTTGGGCATGGGGAGCTGGGGAAGGGGGTGGACTCACCGCACAGACAGTGGCTTTAAACACAGGGACTGTTCCGTCAGTAGGGGGCACTGTCGGCACCAGGGGGAAGTCGCGGCGCTGTGCATGGGCCAGTCCGGGCGGCAGATGCCACCGAGAAAGCGCTGGCTATCGGGCAGCAAAGAAATACAGAAACATGCCATTTACTGCCTGTGCCCCGGCCCAGTTCCCTTGCCCCCTGCACAGGGTTATTTGAGCCATGCCGAGGGACCCTATGGGGAGCCACATGGGGCAGGGGCTCTCTGCCGGGCGGGCTCAAGGCCCCCTCCCCGGACTCACTGGCCTGGCACTGTGCGATGCGGCCACACCCCTGCCAGGGAATGGAGACTCAGAACGGCACCTTTGGGCAGCCAGAGGAGCGGCTTCGGTGGGGACAGGGCAGCCGTGGAGGGTGCGGGGAGCGCGAGGCAGGAGCAGGGAGCTGCACAACTCTCGCCACGGGGGGGGGGGGGTGAAGAGCCCGCCCTGGGGTGGGGAGCCATCAGGTCTCCTCAGCTCAGCACCTTGCCCCTGGCTCGCTCTCCCCCCAAGTCACCTGAGTGGGGTGGTGTGATGTGGTGTCCTGCACCAGCAGGGGTTGGGCCCGATGGCCTTCACGGCCCCTTCCAGCTCTCCTGTTCTAGGATTCGATGATAGGATTCTGAGTCCACCTTGTGCGGGGCATTTTCCCGGGCGTCCAGCAGGAGGAGAGACCGAGTGGAGTTCTACCTCCGCACGTGCGACGTGTGGGCTTTGCACACTTCACGCAAAGAATCACAGACTTGGCGAATTCTGAGCAAAGAATTCGGTACTTTGCATCTTTTGCGCACAGAAGCCGCTGATGTCCCTGAGCGCCTGCATAGCTGAGCTCCACAGGGCTGAGCCTGGCAAAGCAGCCCAGTGAGGCCAAGAGCCTCCGGCCGCTCGCAACTCGCCACCTCCGGCGCTGCCACTCCGCAGCCCAAATGTCCGGCCAATTTCCTCCAGGAGGATGCTCAGCCCAGTGTGCTTGCGCAACTCTCTCCCTTGCTAGCAGGTACAGGGGGCGCTCATTGATGCACACCTGTTGACCCTCCCTTGAGGCACCCTGCTGTTTCAAGGCTGCAAGCGCTCGGAAGGCGTCCCTGGAGGCGGGGGACATGTGGTGCCTGCTCATGGCCCCTGCCCGGTAGTGCTGATGGCGCCCCAGGGCTCGGAGCTGCGGGCACGTTTCTCGGGAGGCA